CATGTGATTAGGGTGAACACTGTGTTCAGTATCTTCTCAGTACCCACTTCATTGAGGAGATCAACCAGCTGGACCTTTTTGTCTCTGCTCTTTAGGGAAAATTTACCTACTTATAAATGTAATATATGTGGGACTTTTTGTTTTGTTATAAATTTCAAAGCAAATTCTAGAGAAAAGTATACTCCAGAAGAAAGCCAATTCTCCCAAAATTCTACTACCCAGAGACAATCAGCCTTACCAACTGGATCTGTCTCCATATAAGCATAGTTTTACATCAGTGGGATCAGCTATACATGCACCCTGATCTTTTAATATTAAAAAATATGTTCAGTCATCTGACAATATAAAGTGTTTAAAGACTCCATGGGGTTACCTTGTGTGGAAATACCATAATTTTGTGTTAATTTTTAACCAATTCCCTATGAATGCGCATTTAAGGGTTTACCAGTTTTGCTATTATAAACATATTTGCTCCTTTGACGTATCTTGAGCATCTGTCCAACTATTTCTTTAGAATCAATTCCCTAGGCTAAGATTTCTGAGTCGAAGAGCATTGGAGCAGAGGGTTCATTCTTCTTTAGGCTCTCACCTACCCTTGTATTAGCTTTGTTTTCAACTTTTTCATTCTAATTGGCAACAAGTAATACCTCATTTTATTTATATTTCTCTGTTTACTAGTGAGGCTAAATAACCTTTCACATGGGTGGTAGTCAAAACTTTTCTCTTTCTGAATGTCTGGCTCATGGCTTCTATACTAGTAAAGCAAAGTGGTGTACACTGTTGGGAATATTACTACACAGAGCTCTCATTTTGTGGTTAAATACTACTAAAAACCAGCTCTTTGTAGCAGTTTCTCTTTAAGCTTAAAGAAAACTTTGTTTTCTATTATTTATAGTAATTAATCCCTTAGAGAAAGGAAGGTGTTACAATTATAACCTGGCACCTTTTTCTTTTTTTAAAAAAAGACACAACCTTTCCTTTGAGAATAGCTATTTTTATTAGAAGTGAACATTTAATTTTGAAATGCTCTTGATGCATTTTCAAACAGATTTGCAGACCAGGTCTCAGAAGTTTCTTGCTCTTTTACAATGGTGGTTTAATTGTAAAATTAATACAGCAGGAAATAAACTGTAGAGTTGTATCAAACTTTTTGATAGGAGATAATTGTTAATGTTCAGAATCCATTGTGATTCTCTGAAAGCTTCCAGTTTTTAGCAGAATTCTGTTAGGTGAATGTTTTGTACTCTCGTTACACATACAATTTTGAAAAGAAACTTTTGTTTAGAGGAGAATGGGGCCGGAGGCAGGGAGTGAGGAGCATACTAACGAAATTGAGACTAAATGAAGTTGTCGACTTGGTTAATTGAATCTAATCTGTAGTATTTGCTTTCATTTAAATTATTTTTCTAGAAAATACCTCTTTAATTTAGAGACTTCAGTTTTGAAAACTATTCACCCAGTTTCCTTGAAAGTTCCCTAGAATGTTTGTGGCCATTTTTCTGTATTAGTCTGGATTTGAAATATTATAACTGTAACAAACAGAAAGGGATGTGTTACAATGCAATATGTTGCCTTGTATTCTCAAGCTGCTCTTCACTGTGAGTCACAGCTTTAAGTTGTTCCTTCAGGAGCACCTGCTGTCTCCTCCTCTATTATTTTAACAGATTGTGGAGACTTCCTCTTAACCTTGGAGTACATTCATTTGCTGCAGTAGTTGTTGTGAAAGAATGAAATAAATCTGCCAGACCCGTATTTCACTTAGTGGCTAAAGTAAGAAATGCCCCTGGAAGGGAGGAGTCTTGGCTAATGGTCATTTGCTCCTGCATAATTGCCTACTCCTTTTTTTAGTTTTCAAAGAATGGTGTTTTATTTGGCATATTCTTTTATGTTACTTTTGTGAAGGCTTTACAAGTTACTGTTATCACACATACCATGAAAAAAGTGACAGTTCATTGTTTTTCCTACTTTCATGCTGTGTGCTTCTTAGCTTTTATTCAGATGGACATTAAATAAAGGCATTTTTCTATGCGTCCGTCTATTCAGTGTTGTTTATAGTATGAATTTTTATATTAAGCATATAAGAGCTAATGAATGGAAAGATGGTCAGCTCTAAGGTATATATATCCTGTAATTTTCAACTCTTCCTTGCTTTGTATATCTTCTCTTTGATTCAATCTGTCTGCAGGGGTCCTGGCTTGTCTGGATGGCTATATGAATATAGCCTTGGAGCAGACAGAAGAATATGTAAATGGACAGCTGAAGAATAAGTATGGGGATGCATTTATCCGAGGAAACAACGGTAATATTCCTTCACTCTGTAGTGTAGTTGTACAACATCTGAACTAAGCCTTTGTGTTTATAGTTGGGATCACCAACGGGTTTTCTAGATAACTTAAAAGTTCAGTTTTAGTTTTACTTTGTCTACTTTTAAATTCTTATATTTCAAATCTTCAGTGTGACCAGTTTATTTTTAGTAGCTTCATGGGTTTGGGGACTAAAAAATCTCCCCTGCCCTTACTGAGGGGCATTGGTATACTGACCTGAACTCTTTCTATTGGATACAGTTTATTCTATTCCCCCAACACTGCCTCTCACACTGGAATCTGGGGCTGTAAGAATGGCCAGTGTTTCCCTGCTATCTTTGGTTTGCATCATTTGGCAGTTAGCTTGTCCTATTTGTCCTTTGTGAATCATTTAAATGCTCTCTGTGGAGATTGTATCTTTTAATTTGACAAAAATGACAAAACAGGAAATATGGTTCTAAAATTACTCCGCTTTTTAACATCTAATATATGGCTGTGATTATTATGTTTACTTTTAAGTACCTCATTTAAAAACACATTATCACTAAAGTAATATATGAATTTTTAGGGAGAAGACTTCAAAACGATGGTAGTTATCCCTTGACCCCTCCCCGCTTTTTGTCCCCATTCCCCAAATGGAGCTCTGGGAACCTGAGTTTGGGCTTTATATTGGTGTGCGTTCTCTAATTCCGGTTAACTCCCTCAGCCCCTTTGCTGAGAAGTCAGCACTCTGACTTAGTGTGGGCATTCTATCTCCTAATCGTACAATGCCATTTTTCCCCGTATCTTCATATATAATATGCTTTTTAGTTCTAACATGTAGAGTTTCTCTTCTCATTTTTCATACTGTTCTTATTTGATCTCTTACATTTACTAAGAAATGTTAGGATTTTTCAACATTTCAAGACAACTGATAGCAGTCAGTTGCAGGTTCTGTAAGTGATAGGGTGGATCCTGTCACATGCATATACAACATGTAGACCATGTCCAATTTCCCAGGATGTTTTTACTGTCATTTTGATGCTTCTCTTCATATATCTTTTCCATGATGTAATAATTAATAATCAGTGGTAGTTATTTTTAGACTCCCACATTCACATCCTAGACTTTTTATTTTCTAAAGTTTCACATATGTCTCCTTTTTCCCCAGTTGACCCCTTCCCCCCTCCCTGGAAGCTCATATAGTAGTTTTAACATAAGCATGTTTCCAGCATGGTTACCTCTCAAAATAAATGCTCATCAGGCCATAGCAAATCTCTTTGTGGTGTTATGGTCTGAGTTTGCTTCTTGGGTCAGAAATAAATCAACATAAGATGCTTTCCTGTGGACCTGGGATTGTCCCTATAATAAAGCCTCTTCTCGTTGAAGATCAAATTGAGTAAAAAAAAAAAAATGACATGAATGCTCAGCTCTAGAAACTGATGAATGCATTAAGTAAAAGATTCCATTTATTCATTGAACAGGTAGCTGTTCTCTACTACTGTCTGCTACGGGACAGACACTGTTCTCAGCCTGGGTATTAAAGAATGCACAGCACAGGGCACCAACTCAGGGTCCTTAACTCTGACCCTTAGGGAGCTAACATTTTTCTCTGAGAAGTTTTCTGCAATATTACTTGTATCTCAAACATTATTTTGGCTGTTAATCTCCAATCAGATCATGTAAAATATTTCAGGCAAAATATTCTGTTATTAGACACCATGGGAAAAAAAAAATGCCAAATAAAGTAAAAAATTCCATCTTTTCTTGATTCCCACTGGCCACTGGGGCCAATTTTCATTTCTATCTCAATTTATTGGATTAACCATTTATTTTGTTGTAGGGTCCACATTATCAGTGTGTAGTGAACAGAAATGGACAAAATCGAAAGCACTACAAGTGCCCTTACCTTGTATGAGTAAAATGTCGTACTCTCTTTAATCAAGAGTGATTATTTAACTTGGCATACAGGGACCAGAAGAAAGGCCACATTATCTCATGTGTAAACACTGGGATCTCCCTCTTTCTGTCTGTGGCAGCGGGCCACTCTCCTGTTGTCATTCCTAGGTTTAGACAAATCACATTCAGCATTGGTAGGGTGACATCAAACAAGGTTTAATCTTTAGACCAAATGTTAATTATATTTTATTTTGAGAGAAAGAATATGAAAGAGCAGGGCATCTGCTTAAACACGTATACGCACATAAAACCACCTAGAAACCGACTTCCCAAACTTAGCCTCATAGTTCGTAATGCTGTTACTGCAAACATGGATCTCTCATTACTAGTACATAGAACCCTCCTCCTACAGCTGTGAAAAAGTTAAAGACAGTGTCTATCAGATGTATATTATTGCGGGTAAAATATACAGGCTTTGGAATCAGACTTGGGTTCAATCTCTCATTTTGTCTCTTGCTCGCTGCGAACACCTTGAGTTCCATTTCTTCATCTGTAAAATGAAAAAACAGGTCTGTTGATAGGGTTTAATCGATGTCTCTTGAAAGGCATAATTCTGCCATCTCCCTGTTCCTAAAGTCTGATTGACCATTTTGCAAAGAAATATTTTGGAGATTAAATGTTGGAGATTAATCCAACATTTACAGGGAACTCATACAACTAAACAAAAAGAAGATTAACAACCCAATCAAAAAATGGGCAACGGACCTAAATAGAAACTTTTCAAAAGAAGACAGAAGGAAGGCCAATAGACATATGAAAACATGCTCATAGTCACTAATCATCTGAGAGATGCAAATCAAAACGACAATGCGGTACCATCTCACACCTGCTAGAATGGCTATTGTCAACAAATGACAAAGGACAAATGCTGGCGAGGATGCGGAGAAAAAGAAACCCTCATGCACTGCTGGTGGGCATGCAGACTGGTGCAGCCACTGTGAAAGACAGTATGGAGTTTCCTCAAAAAACTACAAATGC